GACACTTTCCAACCACTAACAATAAGCACACAGTCGTCGCGTGCTCGGGCTTTTGGATGTCCGGCGTATGTTTGAATGTATGATGCGTTCTTTACAGGGATATCTGCAGCCTGGAATGCGGTTTTCAGGGTGTGCACAGCCTTGAAGATTATTTGGGGATATCCAGAATGGAAAATGGGAGAATAGAGAAGAGATAGAAATTCTATTTATGGAGATGAAGATGACAATGACAATGACGATGAGCGTGAATGCAACGAAAGAAATATTCAGAAGAACAGGCTCTACTTACTTACTCAGGCAGGTACTGTCAAATGATATATATATATATCCAGATGTGATTGTGATAACGACTGCCCATAGGTGGGTTCTCTCCTTCCTTGGCTTCCTCCACCAACAGATAGATAACATCGATAGCGTTGATAAACCGACCAAAGATTAGAGGAACGATAGACATACCGGTATCTCAAAGATATCTCAGAGGGTATCATTCATAGATTCCACTGCAGAAGTAGTGGCTTGTCGACTACGATTCCGAGATTGTGTGCATCCATCCCCGATTCCCCGATTTGCCAGTCAGTAGGTACATATTGTAACCGGTACATGAGTTCTCGGAAGCCCACCAAGGTAGATTAGATTCTCTGCTGAATTGATGGACTCGAATTCCTTAATCATTCATTGCCTACCTATGTCGTCTGGTCGTCTGGTCGTGTGGTGATAGCCGAACAGCTGTTGCAGTCTGAACCATCGGAGAGAGCCTTGATAAGGTTAACATACTGTAGAAACAATGAACATCAATCAATCCATTCGATCGCATTAAACACCACGTGTACGCCTTCATTCACATTCATCACCAACTAAAGGGAAGGAAGGAAGGGAAAGAAAAAGCAAAAGCAAAAGCAAAAGAAAAAAAAGGAAAGAACCCCAACTAGGAAGGATAGAGCTGCGAGTACCGACTTGATGGCACCTCGTTGTTCAACCTACCAATTGGCAAACAATCTCACAAACAAACAGCCTTAAGGTTCACGTGATATCTATCGCAAACACATGGTATTTTCTATTCGATTTGGAAGCCCAGGAGATTCTTTACCTTTTTTCAAAGAATTCATTACAACTCTTGAATAACTTGACGATAGCTCATCTTCATGCGAAATTTCTCATTGTCCGAAAGTTACGTCCGTCATGAAAAGGGGATGATCGAGTGAATAGCTAGCTTCTTCAACAATCCCACATCAACTTCATCTTTTATCAAACTTTGATTCTTTCGCAATCGCATATTCCCTCTACAATCCCTCAAGATGTTTACTACCAAGGGTCTTTTTTCGCAAACCAAATGCCCAAATCGAGATAAGTGTCTGATTCCAAGATGCATATTTTCACATGATCATCGCGTCGTTCAAGCAGTATCAAATGGGATAGCACAAGTAAAAGCTACTCAACAAGTCGATGGAAGTGATGGTGATCAGGATGGACAGCGAAAACGTCAAAAGATTGGTTATGGAGAAAGAAGTACGACACCAACAACTGAGCCACCACCTTCAATACCGGCCTTAAAACCAGCCATCACTGCGCAGAAAGCAGTCGATAACAAAGCCACTTCAATACAAACATCGAAATCCACGTCGATAGCTCGACGTGAGATTTCACCACCACCATTACGCCGCAAATCCCAAAATGGTACATCTACAGCATCTACAGCATCTACAGCATCTACATCATCTATACCCGCTAGTTCAAATAATATAACACCCCAAAAACAAAACGTGCCAGCAACAAGCGAAGTCCCGAAGGTGGTGTCAACTCCGGTCAAGAAGTCCGAGAAGCAAGAACCTCTAAATCCACGGGCACGCAAAACTGCGCCAGCTGTTCACAACATCCGGCTCAGACTTGTTCAAGCTCTACATGACCAGTTGAAGCGTCTCAATTCCGAACTGTCTAATGATGCAAACGATGAAGAAAAGGAACTTGTATTTTCAGATCAAGGATTGATCACAAGGGCATTAGATATGGAGGAAGCTGCTTGTGAAACACCTACTATCTATTCCAATGTTGTCAAGAATAAAATCATGGTCTACAAGAGAATGACTGTTGCGCAATGGAAAGAAGAGAGAGCCAGAGAGATTGACAAAGAGAAAGCCTCGAGAGCACCTATTTCAGATACGCCAGCCAAGAAACCTGAGGGACCACCAAAACCAATCGAGACAGGTCTAACTCCAGAAGAAGAATTGGCTATACTCCCAAGACTCTATACTCCCGTAACAGAGTTATCACAGCACGGATATGTTACCAATGTTCCCACGCCTGCAGAAATTGAAATGGCAAAGAGCGGTATGGAAGCATCAAAAGGCTGGGAAGTTTGTGATCGTTGCAAAACACGTTTTCAAGTATTTCCGGGTCGTCGAGAAGAAGATGGTATGCTCGCATCTGGTGGCTGCTGCACTTATCACTTCGGAAAACATTATTGGAAAGATCGTTCTTCGCTCGACCCCAAAGCCAAACGCGAGAAGAAATGGCGATGCTGTGATCAAATTATCGGAGAGACGTCTGGATGTACCACGGCCGATCACCACGTCTTCAAAGTGACCGAGGTCAAGCGTCTAGCCGCGGTATTGAATTTCGCAAAGACTCCCGAGAATGAAGCAGACCCGCCCGTTCCTACTCAACCCGTCTGCATCGATTGCGAAATGGGCTACACAGTCCACGGCCTCGAACTCCTTCGTTTGACCGCCACCTCCTGGCCTTCAGGCTCTCCCCTTCTCGACGTCCTCGTCCGTCCTTATGGCGAAATTCTCGATCTCAATTCCCGCTATTCAGGCGTCTACCCACAAGATATCACATCCGCCATCCCCTACTCTTTTCCCGGCTCGCAACAAATCGCTCAAAGCAAAGGAAAACTCCGCATCGTAGACTCACCTGCCATAGCCCGCACTCTTCTCTTCTCCTTTCTCACTCCCTCAACTCCAATCATCGGCCACGGTCTAGAAAATGATTTAAACGCCACCCGATTCATTCATCCAACTATCATAGATACGGCTTTATTGTTTCCCCACAAAGCAGGACTGCCCTATCGAAATGGCCTAAAAATGCTCATGCAAACTCTACTGAATCGAAATATTCAAATGATTACCTTTACGGATGGAAAAGCAGATGGCCACGACAGTAAAGAAGATGCAAACGCGGCAGGCGACCTTGTTAGATTCCGAGTAGGCAAAGAGTGGGAAAAGATGCAGCGAGCGGGCTGGAGGTTGAACAATGGAATCTTCGAACCCCCCGAAAATAACGCGGATGCGAAGAGTGGAAAGTGGTGGTTGGGAGAGAAGACATTTGGAGAAAATGATGGAAATGAGGAGGGAGAGGATAAAGCAGATGTGCAGCATATAAATGAAGAGAGAATCGTAGTAGGTGTCTCTGCGGGCTCGAAGAGACGTAGAGAGGAGATGGAAGATTGAGATGAGATGAAATGAAATGAGATGAAATACATAATCAACGAAGAGCAGTACATTCTCATCTCCCTACCATCTTTACAAATTCTTAACATAGATAGAGAATTAAGGCGTTCAGGGTGGGTATCAAAAAAATAGGTACTGGAAGGATAATTGATTACATGGCCCTGCAACTTCTTCAATCGTCTTCTTTGGGTATATGGATTTCTTCATAGCATGCGCGTATCTAGGTACCTTTTTATTTACTTGCTTATTTAATGCATGCATACATACATATATACATACATATATACATACATATATACATATCCCATTCTATACACAGAGAACTGGATGACCTCGGGAGCGTTTGTCGATAGGTAGTAAGTTAGTTAGTTAGTTAGTTAGCAGGGATTTTTAATATAATGAGATGTTACTTTGTGGTGGTGGGGTTTATAATTCTATATCTATTTAACTATTTATGTATATCTATATCTATATCTATATCTACCTAGGTATATATTACTATATTCAGATCTGATATTTGATATTTGATATCAGCAAATATATATATATGTATTGTGTGAACAAGGGTATTCACTTCAAAGGAATGACTTCAATACAATGGCTACTATATCAAAGGGATTTAGGCGAATGCGAAAGAGACTAGCTCTTTCAGTAGTGTCTATATAAGGCCTACTATTTTCCCACTTAGCTAGCTCTTTAGATAGAATACAATTAGACATTTAGGGGCCTACTAATAGTGGGAACCACGTCTTCCGTATCTTTCTCGAACCAACATATATATATCCATATATTAAGTAGATATATAATAATAATAGATATAGAAACCTTCACAGTATATTTATCTATTTATTCATTCATTCATTTATCCATTCATCTATTTACCACCTAGGTATGTACATTCACATTCACATTCGCATTCACCACCCTCACCCTCACCCTCACCCCTCAATTTCTTGTCTTGCAAAATAAAGCAATAAAAAAAAAATCTTGGTATCATTGCTAATCATACACTCCAATCGCGTCACCACATCTATCTATCCATCCATCCATCCAGCATTCATCCATTTATTCATCAATTCATCTATGTCTGACCCCTCAGCCTCAGCATCCAGGTAGGTATCTCTAAAACAAACCAAACCAAACCAAACCACACTGCATTACACTGCACTCAGAAAATAACAAGCGACGACCAAAAATATGATTCTCTTTTCTATTATCCATGGAGAACATGTTTTAACCCATATATGCAGCGTGAGTCATTTTAAAAACCGTGACTGTGTGTAGTCCAAGTCTAGTGATCTTCCAAGTCCCGTTTTCACGTCGAAATCATATGTGGTATGATACGATACGAATACCAAATCTATCGACCAATTTCAGTTCCAATTTCAGTCCCAAATCAGGAATATAAAAAGAAGTACTAGAATTATTGATGGAAACCTGAAGGATATTTCACATGCGAGGTTTTGACAAAGCATAAAGCCGTATCAGACCATCGTCACGACATTATATTATAGTCCAAGTCCAAGATCCGAGCAACGACTCCGTAGAAGGAGATTAGCGACGACCTCGTGGAGCACCTCGAGCAGGTCCGCCTCCGCCTCTACCGCGATAGGCTTTGCCACGACTTTGACCACCGCCTCTAGGGGGGTTGTTTCCAGATTTATGCTTCGGCTTATTCTTCTCTGCACTGCCGCTGCCGCCACCACTACCACCACCTCTACGACCGCCACGGCCACCACGGTTTCCAGAAGGTCTACTATTTTGGTTGCCGCCAGTATTGCCTTGGAATTGAAAGGGGGGAGCTTTGTTGAAAGATTGCATTGCACCAGCTTGGGAGAACTGGATGTGACCATTTCTAGGGGCCATATTGACTTTGGGTTGGATGAAACCTTCTTCATCATCGCTGTCATCCAAATTAATGGGGTCATTGGCCTTTCCCTTGATGGTGAAGCCCTTCTTTCCGCGATTCGGAATTGAATAGTCATTACCTCCTAGAGAAAGAGAGTCATCATAACTATTGGGACCATCAAGAAATTTCTCCATGTTGCTAGTCGACCAAGACTTCCCGCCAGAAGCAGGTTTACCACGATATAGTCCACATTCAGGGCCAAAGTGACCTGGACGACCACAAAAGTAGCAAAAAGCTAGAATATTGTGAACCTTTTTAATCTCATTCGGATCAGGAAGGAAACTTCTCCAGATTACATGACATTGATCCTCAAGATGACTTGTAGATTGACATGTATTGCATTTGACATCATCTTTGACAGCACGCAGCTTTTCAGGACATTGTAAGGTCTGATGGCCCACTTCTCTACACTTACCACAGATCGTAGTCTGAGGACAAGCTGGAGTGAGATGATCCCCCTTACTGCCACAAGAAGAACAAGCATTGTCGGAACATACACTTCGATCATGTCCACTTGAGCCACAGATCAAGCACTTCCTAAGGATGACACCGTCGGCGGATGGGAAATATTTCAGAATTGCAGCATGGTCCTCTGGAGGGATTCTCGGATGTAAACCCGTTTCGCGTGTCGCCTCAAATTCATGATCAACATCGGCATCAGTAGCAATACCACCATCTGATGGAACTTCCATTTCAATTCCGGCTACTGAGTCCGACGAACCATGATCCATCTGAACTGACCCGGCTTCAGTGGAAATCGCGCAATCTCTGGTTGGATCGATAGCATTTGTAACTAGGGCGGGAGCAACCCGAGTGGATTCCTCGCCATTCGATTCTGTTATCAATTTGGAAGTCGAGACATTGTTCTGTTTCACGGGAGCTTCATCTTTGACTGAATCGTCATTGGTAATTGCCGGGGAAGCGTTTTTGTCATAATGATTTGTCGCGCGGGCTAAAGTTGGTGGACCCTTTTTAGCATTCTTGAGAACCTCAATTGGAGACGGAGCTTCTGCCACAAGAGAAGACATAAACTGTTCTTTTTGTGGTATGTGGTTGTAAAAATAAGACAAGTAACTTTTGACGGCAGCCTTAGCACGTTTGTCTGGTAACGCACGCCCAAAGAATTCGTTGTTTTGCATGAGCGAAAGAAGGACATCAGAATAGGTGATATCCTTACTCGTGATGGGTTTGCCTTCCTCACTGTAAAGCTCTTGCAACTGAACATCACCGCCGCCGAACGAATAGCATCCTACAGGTTGATCCTTTTTCATTGGAGTTGGGTAAAAAGTCAAACCCTCTCCAATAAACTTCAGGCAGCTCTGTTGAAATTCTTCCGGCACTGGCCAACCATGAAGATCTATTAAAGCGGAAACATCTTGAGTATATGCTTCCATCAGAGCCAGTTTGTTTACCCTCCCAAGCTTGTTAAATTGTTTTTTTGGTCATCGGCTTTTGCTCAGATCGACCCTGAGATTTTTCAATGGTATTATTTGGGATATGTTCTGGTTGCTTCAAGGGAGTGCTTTGTGACGGCAGTGGTTTCTTGCTCTTGAAAGATGTTCGCAGTCCACTCTGTACGCCTTGATTCCAGGTTGCCGGTGATCCAGCTTTTGCTTCAGACGTAAGAGTGCCTATCGAATCCTTTGGCAATGGCGAAGATGTGAGATCGACCTCAACTTTGGCAGGTTCGTTGGAAGATGGCTTTGCCCTCTTTCGAGGTTGACTTGCAGATTCATCTGAAGAAGAATCAATTGTGACAACTTCTCTGCCTTGATCCGAGGATGATTGTAAAGCACGTTTCCTTCCAACCACGTTCGATCGCGAATCAACTACATCTTCTGCTGGTGAATCCATGTTTGATGATGCTCCCCTGGTAGATCAAAATCAAAACAGAATCAAAGCGAGAGGACGCGACATCCACAGGTTGATTCGAATGTGCGAATGCGTACGAGTAGAGGTATAGGTATGGGCAAAAGGCGCGAGGGTTGTACTGTTGGTAGTACTTTTTTTGCGAGCGGGGTCCTAGAAGAATTAGTGAAAGCTGCTGAGATATTCAATTATCTTTGTGCAACATGAAGAACAGATTCAAATGACCAAGAGAATTCTTGAAGATTGAATAGCTTTCCCATATAATCGGAAGAAAGATTATCTCCTCAAAGTCCTCATATATCGGTGAATTATTGGTTGTATAGTATCGTCGCAAACATGCGATACTTGGTAGCTCACTCTGTCGGGACTGTGTAAATAGAAGTTGTCTCAAAATTTAATAATGCGAGTTTCTGATATCACGAAAATAATTATTTCGGGAAATTATTATCGGTCTCGGTGCGGAGGTTTGATTGGTCGAAGGGTGGACGTATTGTTCATTTCGGTGAAACTAACTATAAATGGAAATAATCCTTGAAGATTGACCCTTGTTATTGGCTCCTTTTTAAAAGAACATTCCAAAGAGATTCTCGATTCATTTTTGCCTTGGATCGAATTTTATTTTTGGCCTTATGATTTAAATTTATATTATATTACCTATATATCCATATTACCTACCTACATACACATACATTATCTGGATACTACTAGGTAATAAATCATACCAACCTAGTCCTCCGTCCCCCAGTCTCTACCCAAGGATTATTAAAGAAACATCCCGCTCGAGCAAAATATACTTTGAATACCTACCTAGGTACTCTCGTACTGTACCTGCCCAGGTATCGACTTACCCTTATATTACCTTCATTCTGCCTACTCTACTATCACGGAAAAGTTATTAGTCCGATCAGACTTCCGAGCATTAACCCCATCCCCATCTCCATCTCCACAAGAACACCAAGACCGAAGGACGACTAAAAACAGAACAACAACACCATATAAGAATATCACCAAAACCCCCCCATTCGCCCCCCCCCCCCCCAATCCTCATCATCCACCACATATCTCTACATCTTACATTCTATACAGCAACTTAAGTCGGCGTCTCTGTTGACTCGTTTTCCATCTTCATTTATCCTTTCTCCTCCCTCGTTACGCCTCCCGCCTCAAGCTTTAGATCCCCTACACTTTCACAAGCTCCAGCTTCCCTCTACAGTTCTGTTGAGACCTTCTGATTATTGGCAAGTTCAATTTGAATCGGATCTCAATCATTCTCGTTTCCTTCTATCTACAGTCTCTCGTTACATCAACATTTAAACTGCCTCGCAATTAGGTACTCAGAAGTAAGCCCCTAACTCTCTCCAAATTCATGCACATGCATACCTAGGTCGATATCTGGGTCGATATCTCAATTCTTTCCGAGATCCGCATTTCTCACTTTGCTTACTGCACTAAATTACATGAAACATCCAATGAGCTCATCGCTGACGTTGTAACTATAGCTAGAACCCTTCGACAGCCGCCATCATATCTTTCATATCCCTTCTCCAAATTCGAATATACATCTTAACATTACGACAAGACGCTCTCTCGGAGGCGTTTCTTAACCTTCAAAATTCCTTCCGCAACCACCGCCAAGCTGTCTTCCCCACTCCTCCTCCCTCGCACAGTCTCTTACGACGCGAGTTCAAATCCACCTCGTCCAAGTGGTCCATATCGAACAATGAGTGAGCAAAAGGTTGGACGAAGGAGGCGGTCGAGCAGTTTGCTATATCAGGAGCCACCGGAGACAATTGAGCACATGAGTGATCAAGCGGCATTGCCCAATCTTAATGCCAACTGGGTGAACGCAAAAGGTCAGAAATTCCTGGATTCGATTGTGTGCAATGTAGCAATTGGAGCATCTTTTTTGGCATGATTTCTACGTGGGATATGAAGTATATTGAGTTCTCAATGCTAATTACTTCGTTCAATAGGTGCCTGGACCATACATCTGGTTTTAATCGCATGCCTCAAGGTTCTTTTTGATATAATTCCTGGTGTTTCCCAAGAGACATCTTGGACATTAACAAATATATCATACATGTTTGGTTCTTTTCTCATGTTTCATTGGGTCCGTGGTGTACCATTTGAGTTCAACGCTGGAGCCTACGACAATTTGAACATGTGGGAACAAATTGATAATGGAGCTCAGTACACGCCTGCAAAGAAGTTTCTCATGAGTGTACCAATCGTTTTGTTCCTAATTAGTACTCATTATACCCATTACGACCTCACTTACTTTATCATCAACTTTCTCGCCGTTCTCGGAGTTGTGATACCAAAATTGCCTTACGTAAGTTTTTCTCAACCAAAATTTCCCTTTTCATATTCTCATATTGGAGATATTGAATGTTGAAACATTATATTGATATGCTTTTCTCAGAGCCACCGAACTAGAGTTGGTCTATTCTCAGCGCCAGAGGACAGTTACAGATGATACGAAATGATATTTGAAAGTACGTCGAAGTACATGATTGCATCCAATTAGGCGTTTGTTTGTACGATATCTTGAGGCTTCACTTTTTTTTCATTTCAGATAATGATGAGAATACACTGGTTAACACAAAAGAATCCGGACTCGGTGAACTGTATCTAGAAATAGGGATGGAGTTGAGGTACATTTACAATTCTTGGCTATCTTTCTAAAAATTGTTCTAATACGGATTTGATCTTTTTATCTTCTTCTCCTTTTTCCTTTCGTGAATGTATTTTCCCTTGACGAGCAGTCATTTGGTAAAGGTGACGCTGTTTTTCCTTTATAAAACCTATTGATATTTGACAAGGAGACTTGCCCTGATGAGCCATTGGCATTTAATAACGGGGACGGTGTTTTCCACAACATGTCCTATTGGTATTGGTGACCTTGGTAAAATTCAATGGCTTTTTTATTTTCCTTACAAAATCGAAACTTTGAAGTTGTTCAAATTCGGTATTTTTGTCAGATACATTTCCCTTACGGAAGACCCGGAATCAAAGTTCAATTCCCTCCTTGCCTGGATACTTACTTAGTAGTAGTATGTAATTCTGCCGGTCCCCCGTTGAACTTTACTCCGTACGGGAAGCGAAATCTTGGAATGATCAAGGCATTGCTTGACTCTTGATACACGTGGTTTCCATTTCCATGACGTTCCTCTCTGAACCAATCGAAAGCATGAGTATACGAGGGGTTGTCATGAACTTTGATAAGTACTATGTAAGCCAAGAAGGTGAACGACTAATAATTCAAGTTTTCCCAGAAAGGAAACCGTTGCAAGAGAAAACTTTAATGCGTTCAACAAACCCACAGACATCCTCCTAGTCTCTGGGGATCTTAACACTAAATTCCTCAATCAAACTCTAAGTCATGGTGACCACTGACCAGCCAATTCTGATTGTCGAATCTGGATCTACTGATGATCTGATACCGTTATCATGGTCGTGGTTGTCGAGGCAATACTTGTTAGTACTGGCTTTAGTCAATTACGTTTGAATTGAGGATTCAAAACATCTTTCAAGATATTGCCGTGCCGACAATGCCCACTACTCATGAGGAACTTGCTACTTTTACTTTCCTCACTCATAAGCTTTACGTCAGTAAGGTTCATCAATATCTACACGCATTGTATATACTTTCATCAGGTCAGGAACGGGGCTATTGAACTGATGCTAACCTCATTTGTTTCCGATGACTAAGTCAGGAAGGAAACTTTAGGCGGTTAATAGCTTGAGTCCCATGAACTACCGAGAACGCTAATGAACATTTCACCCTAACTCAATCTTGTCGGGAATATCATCAACTTCTCTCCAACCTCTTTCTTTTTGAACGAACTAATTCAAAGATGCCAGTTGTTGAAAATGCATCCCGTGAGTTTCCGATGAGAATGGTCTAACCTGGGGATCCATCATATTCTTGGGTATTCTCGAATACACACCGGACATGACTCCGGTATCCTTGGGATCATGTTTTGCATCTTACAGTTCATTATCCATTATCAACCATTCGCTCTTTTGGGAGTCTAACCAGAATCTATATCGCCAAGTGGAGCAAATTCATAGTGGGGAAAATGTTTTCTACAACCAAAATTTGAATTGAAGATGAATCTTCCAAGACTGAATCCGCGGTGCTGGAATGGAGCCATAACCTTATATGGCATTCATCAAATGGCATGCCAGGTTCTGGGTTTTGAGAATGGCAATCACTAGTGAAACTCCACTTACCCATGACGCTTGATTGTGAGAATTGGCTACGAGAACCAAGTGGGGGTTTTTTTGAAGAGTTTTTACCCCTAAGCACTCGATGCACTTACCTAGCTTTACCTTGATATTCCTCTAAATTCCTCTCCCCACACTCTAAAGTGTTGACATCCAAGATCAACTGGATCTCGCTCGGCACCATTGGTCCATACAATCATTACGAATGTCAAGAAACCAGATTGATTGATGATTTAGAGCGATCGACTTTGACAATTCCTGTGCATTACCGCAAGTTTCACCCGAGTGGACGTCACTTCCTAGATTTCTCCAGACCAAGCTCTGATCGTCGCACGATCATGACCAATTACATTTTCACTTGATATCGTACGTCTTTGATCTGCTCTGGTAAGACTGCACTTTGGTCGAGCTTCAATAGCCATTGTTACCTGGCGTACAGTCCATGAGCTACCAGTAATTCTCATCAATAGTGTCTGTTAGTGTTCATGTCGCCATTGCTGGAATATGGTATCATCACTATGACGCTGGCTTAAGACGCTAAACTTTATGGTGTGATGAATTTGCTTAAATATCGATTCTCCCTTCAAAAGTTTGAAGTATTTCTGCTTATTCTGGCAGTCAATCGTTTCTAATTCACAACACTTCCTTCTCTTCACAACACATACTTCCCTTTACAACACCTCCTTCCCTTCGCAAAACACACTTAGTCACGATGAAGCTCAACTTATCCCAGGCAGCTGCTATCCTCGCATTCTGTGGAGTTGCTACCGCACAAAACTCCCAGAATGGCCAAGTTAATGGTCAAGTCAGTGGCCAAGGTAACATCGTAGCTCAAGGTGCTGCAGGTGCTAACGGCAACGGCGCCGGTGCTGCTGCAGGCGCTGATAGCAACATTGCTATCCTTCAAGGTATGTCGTCAAAGTTTCCCCCAAAAGGATCTATCAAATAGTGAATAATCTAACCTCCTCAGGTAACACCAACAACGGTGGTAACGTCCTCGTCAACCAAGGTAATGCTTCATACATTACTCAAATCGTTAACGCCTACGCCACCTATTTGCCTGCACCTACCACCATCACTCACCAGAACTCTGTCGTTACTGTAACACAACCAGGATGGGTCACCATCACTGCTTGCCCAACTGGCTGCACCATCATCAACAAGGTCGACACACCACCTACTGTGACCCCAGTTGGACCAGTCATCTCTAAGACAACTGGCCCCGCTTACTCAACTGCCAATACCACAGCAGTCCATGTTTCCTCAACTGTCAAGACCACACCAGTCCCTGTTTCTTCAAGTGTCAAGACCACAATAGTCCCTGTTTCTTCAACTCTCAAGACCACAACAGTCGCTGTTTCCTCAACTGTTCAAACTACTATTGCCAAAATCACAACAGCACCTGCTTCCTCTGTAGTTCTAGGTGTCGTCTCCGTTGTCCCTATTTTCAGAAACGGAACTATCACTGCCGCTACTGTCCCAGCTGTTGTACTTACCTCAGCTCGTGTCTCCAATGGAACCGTTGTTGCTACGGCTGATTCCGCTGGTCATACTCAAGTCGGTCAAGCTGGTCAAGCTGGTCAAGCTGGTCAAGCCGGTCAAGCCGGTCAATCTGGAGCAGGTCAAGCAGGTCAAGCCGGTCAAGCTGGTTCCGCTGGTCAAGCTGGTTCCGCTGGTCAAGCTGGTTCCGCTGGTTCCGCTGGTTCCGCTGGTTCCGCTGGTCAGGCAGGTCAAGCTGGTCAAGCCGGTCAAGCCGGTCAATCTGGAGCAGGTCAAGCTGGTTCTGCAGGTCAAGCTGGTTCTGCAGGTCAAGCTGGAGCAGGTCAATCTGGAGCTGGCCAAGCCGGTCAATCTGGAGCAGGTCAAGCTGGTTCTGCAGGTCAAGCTGGAGCTGGCCAAGCCGGTCAATCTGGAGCAGGTCAAGCTGGTTCTGCCGGTCAAGCTGGAGCTGGTCAAACTGGAGCTGGTCAAACCGGAGCTGGTCAAGCTGGAGCCGGTCAAGCTGGATCAGGTACAACCTCATCCAATGGCCCCAACACTAGCGGCCCAGTCACCTTCCAAGGTGCTGCTTCGGTCAACGGTGTCAGCGCTGCTGCAGCTCTCGCTGCCGTTGCTGCCATCGCCATGGCTTTGTAAGTAATACCTTCTCAACCTTCTCGCAACAAGGTTCACATCGCGGGAGGGCTGTCTCTAATCATCATGGTTGAGACAGGGGTAAGGAGTCTGGGGGTTTGATATTTTACTGGAGTTTCGGGGAAAGGATGGGGGATACAAACGTTATTATAATCTAATATTGGGTTGCTAATTAATCTGGGTTTTTTGGGGGGTGGGCGGGGCGTTCCGGGTATCCTGCTGTTTCTCGCTCATAATGATAGCGATACGGCAGTGATTTGGGGTATACAAAAGTTCAAAAGTGGACTTGGGTTTTGGGAGGCATTTTCTCTTGTCAAAAATCTGATCATCGTGAACGACGGACTATGGAATCCGTGGCACTATATGTTCAGATTTTTGGAGTGGTCCGCGAGTATCGAGGCAAATCGATGCGAGTGTCTCATGACACGATCAGATCACTTCGAGAAATGCCATTGCTATGTGTTCAAAATTTTGGAGAGATCCGCGAGTATCGATTTGCCTCGATGCGAGTGTCTCATGACACGATCAGATCACTTCGAGAAACGACATTGGAGTTTTGGGGGACACTCGCCACGGGGCTTGAGTATTGGGGGCGTCACGGTTCGAGATATAATTATCAATGGGAAGAAAGTACGTCCGTCATGGGATCGAAAACGGGAAAAAATGGGGAAAAACGATAAAAACTCAACTATAAAAAATATATCAACGCCGAGAGGAAAAGAAAGTACGTCCATGGGGATCGAAAAGGAAAAAATCGAAAAACAAAACCAATAAAGCCGGGGAAAAAAACATAAAAAGTATGCATGGGCAATCGTTTCAGGGGGACCCATACCAAAAACAAGTGGAAAATAGATGAAGAAAATCACAAAAAAGGGGATGTTTATCAATAAAAACCATTTTAAAAAAAGCTTTGTGTTCGGACATGAAGTGTTTGGATTGTGAAATGCTAATCTCAGGGCTGACTATTGGGGGTTTTGAGTGTAGGTGTTCAAGTGAAATCAACACTCCGCACTCTCTCGTCTGATCAACTAATCCCCGGAATATGGGTATCGTAACTGACATGTTAATGTGTCATGCATGATGCTTGCAGGGGTAATGGATTAGAGAGAGGTAAGTCGGATATGGGGGAGGGGCGTTTTGGATGGGGCGTTTTGGTATGGGGTTCTGGTTTTTGTCTGTCTGGCGGTTTGTGGAAAGACGTTTTTGGTGGCGTCTCTATACAGGGGTCTCGTACGGGTTACATGTATTACATATACATGTCGCACTCTCTCGTTTGGATCCATTCTTCATAATACGAGTATCATGATTGTCATGGATTTTGCCATGCCTGGTACTCGTAGGGCAATGGGTTGAGAGAGGTAAGCCGATGACTTGTGGAAAGACGTCTCTGGTCAATTTTCGACGGCATCAATGGCACGCACATTCAACATCATTATCGACTGCTTTATCAAAGGCGTTTCGGCAGAGGCGTTCTGGAAGAGGTGTTCAGGGATTGTATTCGAAGAGCATATGCTCGGTCGGGTATGTCGCACTCTCTCGTCCAATTGACTAATCCCCGGAATCCGGTATCATAAGGGTATGGTACTTGCAGGGGTAAAGATTGGGATCTGTATGTGTTCCTCAGAGTATTGAGTGTTGGTGGTGATATGTCTGTATGTCACTCATCATACTCGCTTATAATACTCTGTAGCAACTATAGATTAGAGAGGGGTAAGTCGGGGGCGTGGTGGAATGGCGTTGGGATATCACTTGTAGGCTGGACAGCGATAGGATTCTCTCGGGGACGGGGAGTGAGGGAAACGAGTATTATCTCGTGAATTCCATTGCTGTTTATTGTATAATATTCAATGTATAATACTTGGTTTGGGGTTAGGGGGATTATGGGGGTTTCACTTGGGGGTAAAGGGGTAGGCGTTATGGTTGGTAAAAGGGGCGTTGGGGTCTTAGGGTTGGGTGGTAGGTGGTGTTGATAGGAGACTGGGGTGTTTGGGTATGGGTATAGGGAGGGACGGGGCGCAACGGTTGAGGATTATAGGGGGATTAGATATAGGCGACTTTACCTAATTCAATACCGACACCTCAAAATATTTACTGCGTTTGAGTGACTGTGATTCTGGCTATGATTAAAGTGGAATATAGAATCTATTTCTATACTCTTTATGATGCGAGGTGGGGGGTGCTGTTCTCGAGGCCATTTAGATGGGTATGTTTATATGGGTAAGGTTATGAACCAGTCAAATTATAAATAATAGGGTTCAATTGAAATACATTAAAATCAATCTTGACAAGAAACAAACAAACAAGTTTCCCCCATTTTCATATCAACACCTCCTCTCACACATCACCACCTTTACCCCGCAATTAGCAACCCCACCGAGCCCACAATAGTCTCACATCCACCTCTATCAAACGAGCGATATCTAAGCACCGCGTCTTGGGATAACTACGGAAGCACTATTTTATCTTCTCAATCAATCACATTACCTTCCATTACACACATGATTCTTATCTAAAGTTTCAGCACCACTGCTATCATCGTCTTATCTCGCGCCATCCCACTATCGTCGCACACCTCGATAGCTGAGATAGTATCCTTTAGGTAATCTGTTTGCAACAGGTCGATCCACCATTTCGCTATCTACATCCACATTGGTCTGGTATTTACTGTACCTCTACCATATTTTAAGCTCGAATTGGCTGGCGTGTGTGGAAGAGTACTAGGTATATATTGATATATCCAGGAACTCCGTGATCGACTTGATATTCAACATCTAAAATCTGAAATTGCGATTGAGATTTCAAGAGTGCTATATCTTTACTACGAAGATTGATCATTTGTTTACTATACGCTACCTTAAGATTATCTCCTGATAAGATAAAACGAAGAATAATAGGCTGGAAATTATGGCACCCTCGGCGATTGAATCACATCTTCCTATTCAGAAGAAAACAGGGGAGGAGAGCATTCCAATCGTAAAAGATGAGAAAGTCGAACATGTTCATGGTGGAGAGGATTTAACTCCTTTGGAGGCGATTAGTCATGGAGGTGTGGTTATGTCTGGTGAGTTATGATGGATTTTCCTTGTGTCTGGGGGGTTTCATGGGAAATTGGGAGTAGTGGGTGCTGAAGTTGAGTGTTTTGTATTGTGGAGATGAGTTTTGGAGGATTGTGAAGCTAGATGATGAAGGGGGTAGAAGGTATGGGAGTTACTGAGTGATACTGGCTTGCAAGTGCAAGATATCATCATTCTGTTGGATGGTTAGTTTCTATCTGGGCTTGAGTATGCGGAATACACGAAGATAATCATATATATCCATGTTCGCTTACAAAAACTTTACTATCTTTTTCTTCTTCAATCTCACTCGCTCATTCATTGACAATATTTTTAGGTATTCCAACCTTTCCCAATCATGCTGCTCACCGTCGCCACATCCTCATCCACATGGCGGCCGTCTTCCGAGACTTTTCACGTCGTGGTTTCACCGAAGGAATGTCAGGACATATCTCCGTCCGAGACCCAGAGTTTGAGAACTACATCTGGATGAACCCCCTTGGTCGACATTTCGGTCTGATGACTGCTGGTGATATGATGTGTTTAGATTTAGAGAGTGGAAAAGTTGTAGGAGGAAATCGAGTACGAGTTTCCTTTCGCAACCCGTGAATATGAATATGGAAGATGTTGAAATTAACTCAATCACAGTCTCGTCCTGCCAATGCCGCTGGGTTTTTGATCCATTCTGCAATTCACAAAGTACGTCCTGATGTACATGCTATTTGTCATGCACACACAAATGCTGGTCGAGCATGGTGAGTCTCTTGTTCAGAACTTTACCACATACAAGTCTTAACAATACCCAGGTCCGTCTTCGGTCGACCCCTCGATATGCTCAACCAAGACATCTGCAACTTCCACAACAGCATCGCTGTCTACGCCTCCTACGGCGGCATCGTCTTTGCCTCTGAAGAAGGCGCCAACATTGCGCGTGCCCTCGGTCCCCACAACAAAGTAGCCATCCTCCTCAACCACGGCTTATTAAGCACCGGATCCACCGTCGACGAAGCGGGATTCCTATTCGCGCTCTTAGATCGCGGATGCGAAATCCAATTGAAAGTCGAAGCGGCGGTGGGAGGAACCCGCGATGCGAATGGAGAGCTGAAGAAAGGAGTATATGTGATTGAGGATGAGGAGGCGGCGTATAATTTCAAGATGGCGAGTGAGAAGAATGCGTTGTATGCGGAGATACAACCGGATCTGGAGTTTGAGATGGAGATGGCGGGGCCGGGGGTGGTGGAGAGGGGTGTTGAGAAGCAGATTGTGGATCATGGGTTGTGAGGAGGAGGAATTAGCAAGCGAGGAACTTGGAAGCGAGATGTGGGATTTTGGAGGTGCGAAATTGTGTGCATAGTTAGTTACTTTTCTGTGGGTGTTTGGATTTCATTTATATGTTCCAACCAATCCAGATTATCTCCTTTCCCGTCTGAAAATAACATCGTATGGAAATTTATCACTCATTGTAGATATAAGATTACAATCCCCACGGCCCTTTTCATAAATAAAATAAAAATAAAAATAGTATGCCCCCTCAACCCAGAACCCGCAAAACATTTCTTCATTATTATTCACAAAAGCAGTATAATATGATACAATCACTCCCTCCCTTTAGCATTCCCAATCCCCAATCCCCAAATCATAACATCCACACTACAATACACAAATAATAAAATTTCCATACTCCTACTCAAATCATGAATTCCCAACAAGCAATTCATCGTTTCGCTATGTGTGCGTGCGTGCGTGCGGGCGTGCGGGCGTATCTATAAATGGTGTTAAAGATTGAGATGATAATAATGAGATTTCTTTCTAGTATATAGGATGGGATGGGATGAGTGTTGTGTTATATAATATTGTATATACCTAGGTAGGTATATTCTTGTATAATTTAATTTATATATAAAATTTCTTAGGATGGGTTTGAGTTTTGGTTAGGGTTTCTGGTTCTAGTATGAGTGAATGGGTTTGTATGAGTATAAGTATGTATATATCGATTTATATATATGTTTATAGGAATTAATATATATATGATACTCGAGCATATATTATATATCTAATTATATCTATAGATATAGATAGTTATATAGTCATCTATTCGAATCTAGATATATAATATTGATATATATATCAATTACAAAATAATGACTTTTTATATCTAGATATACTTATTAGATATTAGTCGACTTGAGAATAATAAAGTTTGATATATGCGATATTGTATGAGAATCTTTAGGTTTTGATGAATAGACTGAGTGGGTTAGCTAGGAGTTAGAGATTGAAGATTGAAGATTGAGACTATCTGTTAGTAAGTGATTTTGAGGGGGAGATCGGTTAGGTAGATGGGTAGGTAGATGGATGAATAGGCTTGAGATATTTATTTATTTATTTATTTATAGTGATTAGCGTCTATTATCTGACCTCCCAAGGGGTATTCTAGATGTACTAAGGAGCGGGCCTACGGGCCGCTAGCGTTCCAGCTGCTCATAATAGTATAATATTAGCTAATCAGGAGCTTGTTGCCTCTAGTATTCCCCCGCTCAGTACCGCTTATGGTGATTCTGTAACTATTCTATTTAAAGATTTATAATCCTGTTTTAGAGGGCCTTGTTTCATATACTATCCAGATATCAGCGAATAATCAGATTGATTGCTATCGATCGGGAGAGTGCTCAAAGCGCTTATAGCTATTCAATACGGGTTTTAGATTGATTGAAATAGAAAGCTCATCCTCAGAATATTGGAGTAGATTGGAATTCGTATAGTTTTGTATAGTTTGAGCATATTCTAATATAAAATCTGGATCTAGCAAGAAGATCAATAAAACTATATTATATTTGCAGGATGTAGTTAACATATACTATCATATCCCATTCAGATCGAAATCGATTTAATATAAGCGGCCAATTGTTACACATTTGATTATTGATTAAATATTGAAAGAAATACAATATACTTTTTTCAATCCTATATATATAGGTATTCGTGCTATTTTTGTAATTGAATTTGATGTGATAGGCTGTAAAGTTATTGTGTCCGGTTCGTATTACTATAAATCTATATAATATTTCGTGAGGAAGCTTAAGACTTTTTGGTTTCGAGATATTATATATCGGTTTTTATATATTATATATTTTGGAGATTAGGCCTCTTTTTTCCTTTTATTATCTACTCTCGAAACGCCGACATTTAGTATATAGAACAAAACGGAAGCTGCTGACTATGGGGAGACAGGATAGGCTAAAGTTAAGCGGCCCAGTTATACCCTAATTAGTAAGGTGATTGGCTGCCTCGTTGCCCTTAATCTCAGTATGCCCAGGGGACCATTTGATTACAATATCGTAATGTTATATCGCTTGATAGCACTTATAGTATATTCATTAAAAGGAGACAGTGGCGCTTCCTCACATTCCCCAGATTATTGAGGTGTTATCAATATATAATCATATTTGTCTCTGGTAGGGGTGATCAATGATGCTTAGAAGGTGTTCTAGTCCTCGTTATACACTGATTGCTTCAGTGTCAAAAATATGTGACTGTTTGTGTATATGGCTGTAGCCAATATCGATTTGTTACTTGCTATAATAGATTGTAAAGCTATACCCTATACAGTAATCATATTTGTTATATTATTCAGATCTATCTGAAAATACAGAATAGTCTTCTTAGAGAATTAAATTCCATTATTTCTTGAATACTTTTGCGGTGTTCTCTTTGTTTATACTATTCATTGGATCGGTGTAATACTTAGAAGAGAAGTGAGGCTGTAAGAATCTGGGACACTCAATAACAAGAATCGCCTGTTCCATTCTTTACAGTTTTGTATTAGAACCTTTCAGAGTATTTGTATCTTGTTCTTTCTTTCTAATATACAGTTTTAATTGATTTACAAATAGATATTGTATATCCATTATCTAAAGCCAAAACACAAACCTCAATCTGGCTTACTCTAATACAACAATTCCAGCTGGAAGACTAGCTTTTACAAGGAATACAATCGTTGGAATCGTCTTATAAACAGATAAAGTTTTCTATATTATATTATAAATCATCTTACTAACTAGATTAATATATTTCTTGATCCTGATATCAATCGGAATATAGTCTGTATTTGGGCATTATTTATATAGTCTATCGAATTATACTTCGGAGTTAAAGAGAATAACAGGGAGTATATAGATAATAATTACTTTTCGCAAGCAGGCTATAAATAGTCTGTAGACTATATAAGCTATTGATTGGATATAAGATATAATATATATAGCTTTTGTAATACATATTTTGATATATTATAGAAATATTAGATACCAATCAAAAAAGACGTTAAGTCAGTATAAGATTAATTATACTCCATTGATAAGCTTTAGAGAGATCGATATAATAACTAGATCCTGACTTATCCTTATAACCGAATTTGCAATTTTATACTTCCTTAATATATAAAATAACTCAAACTTTTTCAAAACAAAAAAGATCTTATTCTGATTTTTTCATTATAGAATACATTGAACGATTCGATAGAGTATATATATATTCATAAATAAATCCTTAGATATATAATATATAGCTATATTGTTAATATATCCGAAGCACTATGCTCTATCTTGATTAAGAAGCTCAGTAAAATAAAGAGTATATAGGATAAAGAAAAATAGCAATTCTTGGGGAATACTGTATACAATCAGGAAATCCTATATTGTAATTCCCTCAAACCTTACATGCACATATCTCTCAGTCAGAAATAAATCAACAAATTATAAGAGTGCCATAAACCAACCCTGCTTTTTTATATATTATAGAAGCTATCTTTTAAGGAATATATTATAAACACCTTATACATCCATTGTTATTAGTATGACCACTTTGCCAGCTGCTAAAATACGCTTAGCATTATAAATAAAGACAGCTATAAGATTAATACCAGCTCTTTTCGGCAGCGCTTTGTAATACTGAGGGCTAATAACATTGTATCTCATAGCCATCCATGCAATTTGATTAGCAATATACCTTTCTAATCCTTTTTCAATATATAATATCAACACAATTAGCCTCTACAATCTCAGGGACATCCTATCCTTCTTATCAATCTTGGGTAGTATAATTACTTTAACAAGTTTCCACTCATTAGAATAATAACTAAACCTAAGGTAAACCGCGAAAATCTCATATATTACACTCTTCATACTAGGTCAGTATACCTTAAAAAAACAAATAATTACCTGATTGACTTCAGATAATATACTTCTGACTTTTATTATATATTTTTCCATTTTCTCTATAGTGATTATTCTTTTCTATAATAAGATTGTTTAGTAGTCCTATTCTTATAAAGAATTGTACTATAGATTATTCGATACTTTAAAGTAATTAAATATTATTATAAAGAATACTTCGGCTTTTTTTTAATATTAATAATCTCTTGGTTTTTAATTATTAAAGAAGGGGTTTTAAAATCTGCTTTTAGGGTTAGCTTGTATTAGTTTATGATTTTGTATAGTTCTTGATTGTTCTGTATATTATTTAAATACTTAGTTCAATAAGCTTGTTTCAATACTTATACAATTCTTTGTAGATTCTATTAGGTAATTGCTATTCCATTAGCAATTCCAGTTCTCCTGGCTTGTGTGTATGTTCGGTATGCCTCCTTATACTTATCAATTTATTATAAGGATAATTGATAGGGTTTGCAGTCTTTCTGCTTTACAACTATTATAGAGATACTCAATATGCTTATAAATCTGACAATTAGTCTGTTGATATTATAGGTAGATCGGAGGTCCGGGTTCTGGAGGTTTATTAAGCAATTAGCTATTATATCTGCTAGGCAGGGTAAATCTGAATTGTATATCTAGATATATACTTACTTGTATTTAGAGGTTCCTTTATCCGAAATGGTAGTAACTTGAGTGGTATGATCGGAGCTGCTATGTAGATTATTATCAATTACCATTGTAATGATAATCAGATTGGAAAAGATTAGATCCAGAATATATTCTCTTGTATACGTAGGGGCACCAGAAGTCCCGATATACTCCATTCCCTGTTCGGTAGCCTATTGTGCAAGCGTGTCATCTTGATTAATAGTTGCTACTCTGGGTTTCCATAAATCATATTTAACATTGAAATTATCTTTAATAATTATATCAATCTCTGGGGCGATTTTTAGTTCAAATATATATTTTATTATCAGCGAATTGAGCGGGGTGCAATAAATATTGAGAATCAAGTATCTATTAATATTAATTCAAAGTAAATCTCTATTTCCAATTTGTCTTATTTGTTTA